GAACAACGCAAAAGAAAAAGGCAAACAACATTAGATGCTTTTTGTCACAAAAAGGCAGAACACTGAAAACGCGGAAGGCTAACTAAATATGACTGACTGAAAATTTTTATTTGTTTTTTTTTTAAGAATATTCGTTTTGTTATTTATATTTTGTTTTTATTTTTGCAAGAAATAATAACGTGATATTAATTTGGGCTTTAAGAAATAAACGTTTGGTTTTATTTTTATTAAAAAAACATACTTTTTAAATTTAATACCTAACCAATTTCCTAGCCATCTTTCCCTAACCCCAATATTTAAAGGTAAAGATAGCCTCGTTTAGCGCTGTTTCGCATTACGCTCTACTTTGATGGAACGTATCCCCCGCGTTAAGCGGGGTCTTACTGTACAGCAAAGCCTCGAGGGCTATATGCCTAAGGGGAGAGGGATGTGTTCGTGGAGGACTTTCTAAGGAAAACTGGCTCGTATACACTTTACACATGGAAGGGAATTATGAAAGCGCCCATGCAGCCAGCCCGTTCCCGACATTCGAGCCTCAGCCCGAACTGACAGTATACGGTACGCATATTTCACAAGTGCACATCTGTGTAACCACCGAGGGAGTGGCTTCTAGGATGGACCAATGAGGATCCGGTAATATTTCTGTCATGTCACATGACCTTTCGCGTGCTTTAAGATTTAAGCAAGATGGTTGAAATATTCTGCAACGCAATTTTCTGAACAAAATAAACTTTTCATTGCGAAGTTAGATCAAATATAGGCAATTATGAAGATTTCACTACCTGGTTGAAATAAATACAAACACATGTTGGATACTTCGCAAAAATATCGATGTGAAATATTACTTAATAAGTGGTAAATAAGATGAAGAAAGAAATCTATGATAAACATCTGAGCCCAAATGCAATCTTTACATAAAACTAGGCGTATGGGAAAAAAATGCGAACTTTTACTAATTTACATTCGTATACATTTAGTGTGTTAAATTTCACATTTAATAACTGCTCACTCTTAAATACACTACCTACACAAGAAATACTCATCAAACATTTATCTTTTTCACAACGAATATATTCAATTTATTTACATATAATTTTTAATGTTAGCAATGGATCAATGTATTTTGATCCTTACACTTTAAAAATCAAAAGAATGCAAGCACTGAAATAAGAAGATTCATTGTAACCCTTTCAGTCATTCTCAGCTCAATTAAAAAAATATACACTTGAATTCTCTTAATCCACATAATATGCCGTGAACATCAATTCAAATATTAATGCTTGATAAAAATCCCGAAAGTGAAATATCAGCGATTAATTAAAATCAGAAAACGAAAGCACTACAAGATTTCTACTATTACGCCATATATTTATAACTGCGAAACAAATGCAAATTAAAACGCAAACAACATATGCTCACATGCACGAAGATTTAGCGTCACAAGAGCAATAGCAGCTCATTGGTTCATATTCGAAACCCCTCCCTCAGTGGCTACGCTAATGTGCACTTGTGAAATATGCATACGGTACCAGAAACACCACCAGCGACTTTACCGTTCGGCTGCGGGTGGGTCCGATATGCAGAAAGGGAGCCTATCAGTCCGAAATTTACCTTAACGTGATTTTAAAGGTAGGCCTGAGCTAGGTTTTTTTAAATAAAGTACGCATTTTAAGACAGTCGGCCTAGATTAAACTAAGTTTGCATCCAGGCCGCATGCACCATCTGAAAGCAACTGGCTGACCAGAATTACTTTTAACAAAAATTTAAAAATTGCACAAAATTTTAAAAATTGAATTTTAAATTTCACTTGCTAAATATTTATCAAAGCATATATAAACTACAATTAAAAATAACGCAGAGGAAAATAATTCAAATTTATATTTGTTTTGTATCTGAAATCTAAAGGATAATAGCATAAAAGCGGCCGAGCGGTAAAATCGCTGAACATTGGTAGTTCGGTCCGAGGTTCGAATCCCGCGAACGGGCTGGCTGCATGGGTGTTTTCGTGGTTTTCCCCATGTGTAACGTGTATACGAGCCAATTTTCCTTAGAAAGTTCTCCAGGACGGCATCCCTCCCCTTAGGCAGACAGCCCTCGACGCTTTGCCGTAATTAAATAACCAAACCTAACTTAACCGAGGTTCGAATCCCGGCGAACGGGCTGGATGCATAGACGTTTTCGTGATTTTCCCGAGTGCAACGTACATACGAACCAGTTTGCCTTAGAAATTACTCCAGGAAGATATCCCTTCCCTTAGGCAGATAACCCTCGATGGTTTAACCGAGTATACGTTACACAGGGGATTCGGCGACATTATGATAAGCAGTAAACGCGATATTTGTGATGAACAGCAAGCGAGTCATTTTGGTGTTGGCGAAAGTTTTCAAAATCGCGCCAAGACCGTGCCGTATCCTAGGATTTTACCGCCCTCGAGGTCTTTACCGTAACTATATAAACCAAACTAAAGGATAAATTAAAGTGTCATTACATGCCTGAGAGAAATTGCTTTTGATTATACTTCGTAACTCAAACGTACTGACAGCTAAATATTAAATTTTAAACTCGCATTTTTTTTCTCTCGTAATTCCAGTATATTTTCCAATATATGTATTTTTTTCAATATATTTTCCAATCACTAAATACCTTACTAAAACCGAGAATACCTGAATACTGAATCGCAGCCGGCTGGGAAACCAACTTTCCTGACTGTAGCAATATGGGAAGTTCTCCGACATTACACATTAGTCCCGTGGTCTGAGACCAGGCTCCAATCTATTCGTGCGCATGTAAGCTCAATCCATACCAGCCTACCAAACAACTGAGCGGTGACGTCGTTGAACACTGGTAGTTCGATCTGAGGTTCGAATCCCGCGAATGGGCTGACGTGATTTTACCCATGTGTAACTTGTGTAAGTTTCCCTTAGAAAGTCCTCCACGAAGACATCCCTTTCCTTAGGCAGATAGCCCTTGAAACTTCTCCGTAATCACATAAAACCAAACCAAATCAATACTTATGTCTCTAAAACTATAAGTACCGTATTTGTAAGAAATACATACTCAAATGTATTCGCCGGCCGCATAAAACTGCTTCGGGGACCTCGAATTTAAAGCCACTGTTTTAATGACCCCCCCCCCGTTCAAAAGCGGAACTTTCTTTTAAAAGCTGACATCATGTAACGTCAAATGCTTTAATTTAAAGCAGTTCTCAGATACGTTTGTTCTTTTTTCACGCTGCATTACATAAGAATATTCAGTCTTAGTTTAAGTTGTAGCCTAGATTTCATGATAAAAAGTTATTTAAGGAAACTTCTAACTATCATATTTTAAACAAATGCCATTGTAATAAGAATATAGTTCCAGAATTTACTTACGAAGCTCTAAAAATTATCTGTTTAGTTTTTATAAATGCGTATGTATAAAAACCTGACTCCTTCAAGCTATTTTGCTTTCCACATAGACTCTCCTGCAGCCGTTGACAGAAAAGCTAGCTGAACGACGATACCCCCCCCCGGATATAATCCGGGCAGGCTGGCTGCATAGGAACTTCCGTGTTTTTTCTCATGTGTAACGTGAATACCACCCAGTTTCCCTTAAGATGCCCTTCACTAACAATAAGACGTCGAGTATTTTGTCTTAAATCTTAATCAACCAATCAATCGTTTTTACGTAAGACTAAATCAATGCACTTTCTTGCTAATAAAAGAACGTGAGAAAATTTTCACTTTCTCAAAAATAAAACGGCCAAAACCTCGTTCACTTTTATTTTATTCAACTGTTGCAGAAAATTATGACTTGTTTTAAATATTCTTTTACTTCCAAAATTAAAGTGTCAAAAGATTTAGGATAACTTTGGCTTTGAAAGTTTACGAAGAATAGGGCAAAAGAGAAAAAAGTGGTCAGTTTCACCAACAATTATCATGTATCAAGCTTTTTACTTCAACTTCTGTAGACAACAAACTTCCACCGACTTTGGGAAATAGTTCGAGTAGATAGAAATTGTAAACTTGAGGATAAATCTACAATATTATATTTAAATATATTCTTCGCGGTAAAATCCTAGTATACGGTGCAGCCTTGGCGCGATTTTGAAAATTATCGCCAACACCAAAAATGATCCAAACATCAGTATACTATGCGCTATTTGTGTATATACATAGTATATACTATGTATAACAATATATATTCTTTGAATGACCCGTTTACTACTCATCGTATATGTCCCGTTTTTGCTGTATGTTCCGTTTTTGCTGCTTATCATAAAGTCGTCAAAAGTAGCCAAATCCCGTGTGCACCGGATACTAGGATTAAACCATTCTTCGCCTTAACGTCATATATCTCCTAGTAACAAATCTCCTCTGATATACTTTAGTATACCGTCATCAACACTGCCACTATCTTTCAGGTATTAAAAAGTTTTCTCTTTATTATTTAATAGTGTTTAATTTTAATTTCCGAAAGCTTTCACAAGAAATTTCTATTTTTTAAAAGTCAGAAATACCTGCGTATAGATAAATCTATATATAGATCATTATGCATACATGCATAAGAGAAGCTAAAGTATTAATATACAAAAATATCATGACAAGTAAACAAAAAAATGTAAATTACCACAGTGTACATATTAAACAATGTAAAAACATGCAGAAATTGACATTATAAATATGTAATTTTATACCAATAATGCAAAAATACAGCATATAAAATATTTTATTATTTATTAAATCATTCTGAAAATAGTAAAAACAGATCATTGTATTGCAGATCACTGCAGAAAAATAATATCAAATCTTGGAAGTCAAAACTGCAGAAGTGTAGCCAAAACGATAAATAAAACTGCTTTGCAATAAATATATGTACGTATTGCAATAAGAATATATACAGCTTTGCAATAAATATATGTAATATTGAGCGTATACGTAACTCAGTACTTATAGTGATCAAATAAGGTTCCCGAATAAAAAGCTTTTAAGTAACACATGAAAAAAAAAAAAAAAACTTACCTGATATTTCTAAGAAATACTTGTAAAATTTCCGAAATTCTATTTAAAAAAAAATTCTCGATTTCATTTTACAAAATAGCACATCAAGCAAAAAATTAATTCCACAAAAAAAAATATAAATAAAACTGGAGCAAACGTGAAACTTTCAGAAAACTTTTCTACCAATTACGGTGAAATTCTCAGCTAATTTGCACTGGAATGTCAGACATGGAATGTGAGAAAACTTTCCCGAGTACAGCAAAGACGTCAACTAAATTTAACTGTTGATATTCTAACTTACGCTCTCTGGCTACTGCCATAGGCATCCCGATTGCCCATCGTAACGGTGACGTAGCTGGCATGGCAGCCAATAATATATGGCTACGGCAGCCAAATACCATCGCCATAGCAACGAAAGAGCGAACAAGTATTGATGCATTCGGACTTTGAAGTTTCAACGAAATGTTTGCAAAAAAAATTCCAAGTTTAATGAATAATTGCTTTTTTAATTAGCATAATTAATAATTGCTTTTTTAATTAGCATAACAAGAATAAATTTTGAAATTTCTGTATAATATCTATGCAATTCAAAAACGAAAGTAAATTTAATGTAAGTTTCGATATAGGTGTGGATTTAAAAATATACTAAAAAATCGAGATTTGAACGGAAAAAAAAAAAAAAATATTTGAAGTTTTTACAAACTAGAAATTACATTTTTCTTTTCTCAAACGCAAAAATGACTGCTCTACGTCCGAATGTCACTTGATGTTAGGAACTTTTTTGTTTGTTTGTTTAATCATGGCAAAGCACACTAGGGCTATCTGCCTAAGGGGGGATGCCTCCGTGGAGGTCTTTCTAAGGGAAACTGGCTCGTATACACGTTACACACGGGGAAAATCACGAAAACGCCCATGCAGCCAGCCCGTTCGCGGGATTTGAACCTTGGACCGAATTACCAGTGTTCAGCGACTTTACCGCTCGACCGCTGGTGGGCCTCTTAGGAAGAGTCTCTTTAAATGCTCTTAGGAAGTAAACGCTCTTAGTCTTAAATGCTGTTAGTCTCTTTAAATGCTCTTCCTCTTAGGAAGAGTCTCCGTCCCTTTAAATGCTTCACTGAATAACTGGATGGTTCAGTAAATAGCTCCCACAACACATGAATTGTATATTCTTTACTTTTATTTAGTTACACATGTGTAATTGCGCAGGATTACATCTAGAATCTGAAGATTCTAGATACGAAATAGCGATGCTAATAAAATAGCGTTTGGCATTTTGCGTTGATTCACGGCAAATCACTTTTTAAATTGTTGCCACCAAATATTAGGGCCCTGCATAATATTAAAAAATAATGAAAAATCTGCATAAATGTATGTATGATGCTCGCATTATAATAAAAAATTTATACCTAGAGCCATCCACTTTTGAATAACGTACGTCTCCATCCGAATATGGGTATCTGGAAGCTCAAATTTGGAATTTGCTTTGTTATCTATTTCATATTTTGTAAAGCATTTCTGATTTTTTCATTAAGAAACTCGACGATTTCAAAGCAAACCATGGCAAAACTGAAAAAAAAAAAAAAAAAAAAAAAAATCTCCAACGCGCGCGCGAGACTGTGTATCGGAAATTCTAAAGATATGCTCATTTTAAAATTATTTTGCGATATTGCTGTTAAATTGAATTTTATGGTTTAAGTGCGAAGAACATATTTAATAAATGAAGGTAACACATAAAAAATTAAAAAAGTCCTCTGGGCTTAATACAAAATCTGAACGCTTTCAGATTTTTGTTTAATATTTCCCTTACTCTGCTCAGCAAAACTGGGTTGACAATGAAGATATAACTATGTCATATGTTCAAGGCCATTTTACGGACTGAACAATTCTCAGAAATAGCGACAGGGCTTTTGTGGAATACAGACATCCAAACGAAGAGCAATAAAATTAGGTATTTCTTTGGAAGGAAGTCTTATTGGAGAACCTTAAATAGCAATCTGTAGGATTGCTTTCCCATAGTAAAGTCTTGTTATTAGACTTGAATAACAAGACTTGAGCTCGTGAATTGCCAGTTGTTCATAAAGGATACTCATGGCAAACACGCTTTTTCTAGGATATTTTTAAATAGAAATCTTAGTGAAATATTACATTCTACATCGTTGCGCGCAATTTTTACTTCCTTGTACGAAGTAAAGGAAGTATTGTTTTCATCAAAAATTTCGTGTATCATATTTCAAAGAAAATATCTATTTTGACCGCTATCGAATGCAATTTAAAGATGTTTTTGCGTGACATCTGTACGTAAAAACAGAATAAAGGAGTCTTTATCCCCAAACGGATTATAAAATCTGATTTAAAATGGATTCAGGAGATATTTTTTTCATGACGTCTCTACGTAGCTACGTATCTATGAATTTATCGCGCATAACTCCAAGAAGAGTAGCCTCAGAACGTTGAAATATTGTAGATAGGACTGCTATAACATGTAGTTGTGCACCTCCCCTTTTTGGTTCATATCAACCGCACCAAATGTACAGTGGTGGCCAAAATTGTGGACACTTGTGGAAATTTTTGTGTTTTTGAACTTTGTATGCTCATAGAAAATGTTACGTTTCGCAAAATGCAAACTTGTATATATCATTTTAAAGAGAATTTATTACTGAATTCAATACAACCTGATTTCAAGTTACACACTTGGTATCTTTTTTCTTTGTGTCATATCTCGTAGTCTGACATCACAGACGCATTAATTCGTTCTAGTTGACAGTGCAAGAGACATAACTTCACGACCAGTGTCGAGAGATTTTAGCATTTTGCACTGTATGTGTTGTCAAAGCCTCACGATTTCAGGAAGGCTTGTAGAGTCATTAGATTAATTGGAAGCAGGAAAGTTGAAAAATAGCACACACCTTCGCCGAGAATCGAACCACGGACCTCTGGAATACCGGCCCGGCGTGCAGAACTACTACACCACGAAAGCACGTTAGGAAGGCGGGAGCAATACCTTATAAGCTAAATGTGTAGGACACTCATGAACAGTTAAGCGAATAATCGCTTGTATTCAGGAACGGAGAGGTAATCCCCATAGCACAAAACATCCTCAGGATGTCCTGTTTAAGTCGCAATATCCCGGAATATACTTAGGATGTCCTGAGTATGTTGATTCTCAGATGTCCTGACGACATCGTAATTTAACATCCTGAGGATGGCTTATTTAACTCCTTCACGTCCAATCCGCCCGACACGGCCCTACATTGAAACGACCAGAACCGCCCGAAAACGGCAGAGATTGTAATCTTCTTTTCTTCCCTCCCCCTAAGGTATGTAGTAGCAGGTGCACTTTCCCCAAATGCATTGTATCAGTTTACTGCAGACGGCTTGTCTTGAGAGTTTTTTTTTATCTTTTGGTTGATCGTGACATTTCGTTGTTGATTCTTTTGTGTTACAGTGTGCTTTTAAGCTTTAAACAGCGATGAAAGATCACTTTAAAAATTTAACCATAATATTTATTTTTAAACAATTTATTCCTTCCTATAAAAATAACGGAAATAAACAAGATCTCAGTCGTGATCATAACAAAGCCGGAAAGGCTTGTTGATCTGACCTTCAGAATAGTTTTATAAAGAAAGGGGTCAAAGTTTAATGGAATCTTTGTTAAAAAGTACAAAGGATGTCATTGGACATCTTCACACCTATTTTTTGCGTTAATGGACGGGGAGGGGAGGAAATTGCTGTGAAACTGGAAAAGTATTTCGGGCGGTTCGGGTATTTTGAGGATACAGCTTAGCGAAGGGTCTGCATTTCAAAGAGTTAAGTCGCTAACCCAAGAAGGGTTAATTACCCTTTATTTCTCAAAATAAAAATGTAACAGTTGGCTTATTTCTCAGAGGGTAGAGCAAAGCCTCCACTAGGGCTTGAACTCAAAGTAATAAGAAATAAAACTTAACTAATGCTTAACTAAAAAGATATAACCGAAGCTATCTTCTAATAAGATGTAATAATATCTATCAAGTCCAATAATATCTATCAAGTCTAAGTAGCTGGCTACTGGGTATCAAATAAGCTAGTGCTTGAAATACGGCCGAGCCTAGTAACAGCTTAGAGAGAGACGTAGCCAAAAGGCGGAACGCGCGCTAGTCAGAAACCCTGAGGCTCCCTCCCGAAGTCAGTAGAACTTCGACTCAAATACCACTTTTACTCATTTGCAGTAACCATGATTCTAAAAACACATTCTGGTAGGAAATTGTAAGATGAAATTAGGAAGGACAGGAAAGTAGCTTTGAGTAAAGATAGCAGTTAAAAACTTAGGATAAACCTTACAAAGTAACTAAATCCAAGATGTGAGACACATGTTTTAATACCAAAAGAATCTTCGTCACTCAACTTGTCATATACAAACATGGTCATAAGCCACAATTAACTCCAACAGCAAAGTAAATGAATATTCTTTACATCTTTCCAAGCACCAGATAAGATTGATATGCCATTTTCCAACGTAAATTTTTAATGCAAACTGTGGACAATTCCTTCGAAATTCCCACGTGGTCGCATAAAAAGTGATCGAAAGCTCACTTTTATGTCCTGGATAAATCATTGGTTTGTTGGTTCGATAGGGTATATTACACTCATTGGCTTAAATGTTTTCCTCATTTAAGTCTTTAGTTTGTTAGGTCATAACATATTTTGGTACTCGTCTGTTACCAGGACAGGATTTGGAAATGGATATATGGATGTATGTTTTCATGTATGCATATACTGGGGTTCGATAAAGGGTACTTTTCCGTTTTGCCGGCGCAAGCGATAAAGTCGCCAATAATGATACAACCGATGCCAAACGGAATATTTTCGCTGGTAACCTTTTACGCCTCATTTTGAAAACAGGTCGCAGCTTTTTCTTATCAGATTGTTTCTTTCAATACTGGCATATAATTACATAGAATTTTTATCAGATAGTTCAGTTTTATGTCTAAGGCCATTTTCGGTCAATTAGGATGCAATCACAGCGCTTACCCGAAGCCGAAAATATAGAAAAGGTAATGTCAAGGGTTAAATTCATCAATTCTAATGAGAATGCATTAGATTAGCGAAGTAAAGCACTGCAGTTTTACATAATTTCTGAGTAAGCTATTCGTACGAATTGAAATATTTCTTGCATTTAAACTTGTTTTCCAAATTTAGATTTAACTTGAAATTAATGTAGATAATTGCTGAGAGCATTAGATTTTTGTAGAGTAGTTTACGTGAGATGAG